CTCCCATAGGCGTACGTACTCCTTTGGCTTTGTCCATATTGTAACACTTTAGGACCTTCTCCATGTAATTCTCCTGAGATAATCTAAGAGTTCCCAACTCTCTATCTCGAATTATGTCAATCCCAAGTATCTTACTAGCAGGACCGAGATCTTTCATTTCGAAAGTTGAGTTCAACTGTTCCTTTAGCCCTTTAATGACCTCCATGTCTTTGCAGGCAACTAACATATCATCTACATACAATATCAGGTAGACATATGTACCTGATATACACTTGATGTAGACGCATTGATCGTGATCACTTCTGTTGAATCCGATCTCCTTCATGAACAAGTTGAACTTCTGATTCCATTGTCTCGGGCTTTGTTTCAACCCGTACAATGACTTCTTTAACAAACACACATGATCCTCCTTTCCTCTTTCATCATAACCTTCCGGTTGTGACATGAAGATTTCTTCTTCTAGATCACCGTGTAGAAATGCCGTCTTAACGTCAAGTTGTTCTAGTTCCAAGTTCTCTTGAACCACAACTGACATCAGATACCTTATAGACACGTGCTTGACCACAGGTGAGAAAATTTCATTGTAGTCTATTCCCTCCTTCTGAGCATAGCCTTTAGCCACCAATCTAGCCTTGAACCGAGGCTCTTCCACGCCTGGGATCCCTGGTTTTCTTTTGAAAATCCACCTGCACCCAATCACTTTCCTCCCTTTTGGCTTAGGGACTAATATCCATGTTGAATTCTTATGCAGAGACTTCATCTCTTCATCAGATGCCAGTTTCCACTTCTTCTTATGAACATCCCTCATTGCGGCTTTAAAGTCCGTAGGCTCCACTATATCTCCATCTTCAGATGCTAAGAGAGCCATGTGAACATAGTCATCATTTCTTAGGAACCACTACTTGCCTTCTCTCCCGATCACGTGCTAGTTGATAACCTTCCAGACCTTCGTCTTGTACAGTTTCATCACCGGAGACTTCTTCCTCGTCTCCACCCGAACTGATATCCCTTGTTGACGAGACATCAAGTTCAATATCCAGAAAAGCAGTACTTCGCTCTTTCCGAGCACCAATGTCCTTCAGCAGATCTTTGTAACATTCAGTCTCCTTGAAAGTGACATTCCTGCTGATGACACATCTCCTATCATCTAAAGACCACACTTTATAGCCATTAACTCCAGACGGATATCCAATAAAAATGCCTTTCTTGGCCCTTGGCTGCAGCTTTCCCTCGTCTATGTGATAGAAACAGACGCAACCAAACTTTCTCAAATGGTTAAAACTCGGTGTAGTTTTAGACCATAACTCCGCTGGAATTTGACCTTGAATAGCAGATGATGAGGTCCTGTTGATCAGATAGACAGAAGTATTAACAGCTTCTGCCCAGAAAACATTTGGCAATCCAGACTCACTTAATAAGCTTCTCACTCTCTCTAGAATGGTTCTATTCATTCGTTCAACAACTCCGTTTTGTTGAGGAGTGTGAGGAATTTTCTTATGCCTTGATATCCCATTGTCTGAGCACAAACCATCAAATTCTTTGTTACAGAATTCTAACCCATTGTCTGTTCTGAGACGTTTAACCTTTACCCCTGACTGATTCTCCACCAATGCTTTCCATTCAGCAAAACTTTCAAAGGCTTGATCCTTAGTCCTCAGAAAATAAACCCATACTCTTCTAGAATAGTCATCGATCAGACTTAGGAAGTAATGACACTTACCGAGTGATAGATGAACCGTTGGAGAACCCCACAAGTCAGCGTGAACATATTCAAGACATGCTTGACTTGTATGTTTTCCTTTTGAGTAGCTTTGACGATGTGCTTTTCCAAACACACAGCTCTCACAAAACTGAATATTTGACACCTTGTCCTTGTCAAGATATCCATTTTTAACCAAAATATCCAATCCCTTTTGACTTATGTGACCAAGTCTACTATGCCAGAGATTGGTATCGTCTTTCACAGAAACAGCATTGACCTCTTCTGAATGACTACTGCCTTGTAAGAGATACAGCTTATTGATCCTCTTGGCCTGAATTATCGACTTCCCTCCCTTCTGAACCTTAAGCAAACCGTCCTCAGACTTGAAGGTACAACCTTGTTCTTCAAACGTACCCAGAGACAGAAGATTTCTTGAGAACTCCGGGACATATCTGACATTCTTGATCAGAACATAGCCATCAGATGTCTTGATCCTGATGGAGCCAATACCCATGACTGCAGAGACTGACTCGTTAGCCATCCTTAATGATCCTGCTGCGTACTCTTCCAAGTTTACAAACCATTCCTTTCTAGGAGTCATGTGAAACGTGCACCCGGTGTCCAGAATCCACACTTGCTCATAATCCACACCTGTTGCAACATTCACCTCATACACCATCAAAGACTCTACGAACTCAATACCTGTAACTGCAGAAGACTCCCCTGTCACCTGTGCTTTCTCTTTGCTTTTCTTAGGACAGTCACGCTTGAAGTGACCCTCTACACCACAGACCCAACAAGTAGGAGCCGGACCTTTTCCTTTTGCCTTACTCTTTCCTTTTTGGATCTGTTTTCTTGACTTTTGATCTTTGGTCCCTTTGCCTTTGTTGTTTCCAGAGTACAATACCTCACCCTGAGACTTGCTCCCCTTTTCACCAGATACCAACTCAAGTTGTTTTGAGTGAATAGAGGTTATGACTTCATCCAGAGTTACAGTGGTTTTACCATATTTAAGCGTATCCCTGAGATGACTGAACTGTTTAGGTAGAGACATCAGCAGTAATATAGCTTGATCCTCATCAGAAACCTCAACCATAACATTCCCTAGATCAGTGATAATCCGCAAGAACTCATCAAGATTGTTCTCTATAGAGACCGATTCATTCATCTTAAAACTGTAGAGTTTCTGCTTCAAGTACATCCTATTTGGCAAAGACTGAGACATATACTGAGCATCCAAGATTCTAATCATCCCTACAGCAGTCTGGTCCTTGATGATCTTTCTCAGGATCTTGTCAGTAACACTAGTAACAATCGTACTTCGTACCTTTCTTTGCTTCTTCGCCATTTCTGGATCTGCTTCTGTAACCTTCGAAGTATCCTCCTCAGATTTCCCTTTTCCTGTTTCTCCCTTAATCGGAGACTTTGACAGCTCAAGCTCCTCCGCTTTGTATGCCTCCACAAGACCGAGCAGATCTAGATTGGCGAACAATCTCTCCTTCCACATATTGTAATCGATCACACCATTGAACTTCTCTATCTCAATCTTTGCGGAAGTCATTGCGATAGAGGTTCAATTCGATCTTCGAAACTCGGATGAGATACTCGAGCTAGATCCTACCCAATCTTTCCGACCTACGCTCTGATACCACTTGTTGAGAATATCTCTGAATTCGTCGATTGTTCTTATCGATCGATTACGATTGAATTTGAGAATTGATCTGGTGATCAAAGTTACGAGTAAAGAAAGTAAACCAACACACGCAGAATTTATCCAGTTCGGGTGCAAAAAACCGCAACCCTACGTCTGGCCGAGACAAGCTCGGAATCCACTATATATCGTCGCCGTATGTTCACCGGAAAACCTCCCTGAGATACAAATTCACTCACCGGAACTTTATCTCTCTGTTTTCTCTTATCTCTCTCTCGATACAAAGAGTCTCTCCTCTCAGAAATTACAATGATCACACTCCCACTCGATTACAAAGATACCCAGCTTATTGCTCTTGACCTTATCCGTTGTAACAGCCGTAACAACTCAAGCGCGTAGACCCAACGCTCTAACGGTCACAAAAGCTCTGCATCTTCTTCTTCGAGACTAGCTTTTAACCCAAAGCTTCAAACGATGACGTTCCTTGGAGTTTAATAAACCATCTCGGTTAAACACTTAAACCTGGTTCTTCCTCATTCAGACTTTAACCGGAACCTGCTGAATGAAATGGATGGTTTGCACACCACAACACATCCGACAGATACCATAATCAAGAAATATTGATCTGACTGTTTCTAAATCATTTACTTGTTTTTATGCCCATTGTATCTAGATGGGAAAACTCTGTACAGATTGAAATGAAATAAAAAAAAAGAGAAATTTATGAGTATTTTACTGCTTCTAGTTAAAGATGTTCAAAAAAAACTGAAAGGATTTGAACAAGTTTATCTAGCTTGTAAAATTTTATATATATGCACTTGTGACGCTCTTATATGTCAGGTTTTGAAGTTTGTTTGTTTTCTTTTGGCCATGGACATGAGGTTGGGTCATTTGTGGAAGGTGGGAGTTACCAAAATGAGAACTCATTAACTTTGATCTATTTCAGGTTTTACTTTTACTTATATGCGTTTGGTTCGGCAAGAGGTTGGCATGTGTGACACTTATAAGTGAGGTTAGATTTATGACTAGGACAATTTGCTTCTTTATGTTCATATATTCTTAAAGAAAAATATTGTGGAAGATGTTATGGAAAAGAGTAAGGAAAGGAGCACCCCTGTATTTTTTGTGGTAGAACTGTAAGAAATTAGCTATCATTTTAAGAAACTAGTGAATGCTGATTTTCTAGTAGAATCTCTATCTTAATTCTCACAATCACAAATACGATGTTGCTACCTTACAAAGAGCTCTTTTACCTTTTCAAGCGCCAAATAGTAGTCTTAGTATGAGGATGGGTTGTGGCATATTGACATCTTTGGCTTTCTTGAAATTACATTCACACAATGTGCTCTTACTATAAATTGAAGTGGAACTTTTACAAGCATTGTGTAATGTAGTTTCTTCAACACCGCGTGTGGCTTTCACCGCGAAGATCTGCGAATGGTTCTTTAAACCTCACGAACTCCACGAGGTATATGTTCTTTAGTGAAGCTTTTTTAGCATTTAATGTTTTCATCTTTGTGCCAAAAAGGGTGTTCTTCATCTTTAAAAGGATTCTCTTCCTCATTGGTAGTGTCTTAAATGATAATCGTTGCGTTATGATTCTAGCTCGTTATAAATACCCCTTCTCTCTTCATTCTCTACATCTTCGCCGATATTTCATTAACTAAGTATAACATGAAGAGGCCAATAATGGCAAACTCATCCCTGTTCTTAGATGCAACTGATAAAGCATCTCGCATCAGGATGGAACCTGTTGCGCCATATTCACATAACAAGATGTCAATGCCTTATCATCTAGCCACAAGCAAGGTAAATTCATTCAATACTTGTTCTCTGTTGTTTCCTTTTTGATGTCTAGTGTCTTAAAAATTTTGGTCTGCAATTGTGGCAACTGATCAGATCGAGGGGTTCTCTTCATTGGAAGCAGTTCTGAAGGTTTTTTGGGCTAGTCAAAGGGATGAGACAGCAAACTTCACAGGTGACTGATATTTAGAGCTGTTTAGACTCTAAACTTTAGAGCACCTAAATAGGGGAATCAAATGTATTGTGTTTTGAAAAATTTATTCCTGTTTTTCATGAATGACAGGTTTCAACCGCCAAAATCATTTGCCAGTATCTAGGGTAAAAAAGATTTTGAAATCCGATCCTCGAGTCACGGTACAGAAAATATTCAGAGCTGTTATTGATTTTTACTGTTTAGTGGAGCTCTTATTTCTATTGAAGGAACAAAAGTTTAGTAGTATTACAATATGATTGAGATAATTGTGAATTTTCAGATGATCAGCAAGGAAGCTCCTGCTTTGTTTTCCAAAGCATGTGAATATCTCATTCTAGAGCTTACATTACGAGCTTGGATGCATACTCAATCATGCAGTCGTCAGACCATCCAGCGCTGTGATATTTTTCAGGCCATAAAGAATTCAGAAACTTATGGTTTCTTGATCCATCTTGTTCCTTTTGGAATGCACTGTGCCATCCATCAGGTTAGCTTTCTTCTCCTTCGCAATCTTACCCGGTGAATTCACAAACCATAATTGTGTTCATGTTAAACTAAACATGCACCATTCACTTTAACCAGACGATAATATATGTGTTAAAGTGTTCTATTCAGGGTGTGATAGAACATGAAAAACCTGAGAAAGTGTTGCCTCCGGCTGAAATGTTTTTGCCAGACATGAATATTCCAATCGATATGAACGAGGTTGAGCAGGTAAATCAGTTTACGTTTAAATTGGTATTACCTGAAAGAAACCAGACATTTTGATTGGAAACTAAGTTAGATGTCTTTTACGTTCTTGCATTAATTTGTCCTAAATGCAGGAGAATCTAATAGCCGAGCCCTCTATCAATCATAAAGGGTTTGACCTCAACTCTATCTCCAGGTAGCTTTCTTTGAACTTCTAATGAAATTCTGTTTTTGCAAACATTTTAGTTTCAGATGCACTAAAGATGATATCTAGGAACTAGTTAATAAGAGGATATATGTACATATTGTTAGAGAACCCATTTATAAAAGAACCTAATCGTAGCTTCGATTTTAGAGCAACCGTGCTAGCATCATGGTTGGGACTTATTGTGCATAGATGGAGGCAAGAAATATTAAGGTGTATCCAAGCATATGCATTAGCCATTTGGAATTTTGCAGTGTATTGTTCCTCTAGGTTTTCAATTTTATACTTTAGTTTTTTTTTTCAAGTTGTTGATTGAATACTTATGGTTGGTTTGGGACTTCTCAATGAAGGAGATTGTTGGAGCTAATAAACTTTTGGGTTACATAATAGAAGAACTAAGGAAGCCTAACATTGATGTCTATATCGTTTTTGATTGTGCAGTGAACATGATTCTGCTGGAAGCTACTTAGCAAAAGAAACTTAGTTGAAAGAGTAAAAGAAATGTGAAGACAACTCACCAAAACTATGTTCACCAAATTGTAACTTATGCCAAAAAAAAATACAACTATGATAGTTTAAAATAATCTGAATGACTAAACTATGTGTATATCAATTGTACCTAATAATAATACTATGTTTATTATGTTCGTTTCTTTGGGCTTGTTTATCAGGCTTAATCATGAATTGAAGAATTTCTTTGAGATAAATTCAAGAACATGATGAACCCAAAAAAAACTTATTGACCATCACTGGGCTTCGTTAAACTAATGATTGCTTATGGATATGGAAAAAGATAAAGTTTATATTATAATCCGTAAAAAAGAAACTATATACATAAAAATAGAAAAAAATAGACTACCCACAAAAATACACAATTAAGATTGAGAACACAGACAATAAATCATCGATACATTCTTTTGACCCTCCTATTTCTTTTTCGAGGAAATTTGATTCAATAGTCCAGAAGTTTTATATTTTTTGAAAAATAATCTCTTTTTGAATTTTTTTGAAAACTAACTTTTTAAATAGGTAAAAAAATAATTATATCCACAATTAATTTTGAGAAGATAATAAATACAATAATTCGTTTTAATTTTTCATTTCAGAATATATGTATGTTTTAAAATAACTATAATAACATAATTATATATAAATATATATCTATTTGATAAAAAAATAATTCTAATTAAAATTAATGTTTAGATATAAACAAATTTATTTAGATATACGCAAATCTGATTTTATAATTATCATTAACATACTCAAACTCTATATATATATACATCACCATTGTACAAAAAAATTATCAAATTCTTCCATTGATATTGTCTAAGGTAAATTATATAGAGTAATCATGTTTTAGTGCATGAACTTGAACAAAAATCCATGAACATCCATCAATTTTTCACCACTTCAAAAATTCAGGTCGTTAATATTAATATATTATTTAATCAGATTTTATATTATCTTGTTATTTTGAAGTGATGATCAATTTTTATATTCATGTTTTTTTTTGTTGCAAAATTCACTTTAAAAGATGGTAATCAACAAATATCTAAATCTGTGCATTTCAGAATTGAACAACATAATTACAGTTTCTTTTAAGAAGCTTAATTATAAAATTGGTGATATCCAATCAAAGTTGGATTTTTTTGACGAAAGAGGTTATTCGTTTACAACAAGATGCAAAAACATAAGTCATTTGGTATATATATTTTTTCAACATAAATTTCTGTTAAAATACTTTGTACTCTTTTATATTATACAGATTAGATTATAGAATAACGTATTGTTTTATAGAATCACAAAATGGAGTTCCAAAATCATACAGATCATACTCTATTGCCGTTTACTGAAAAGAGTACAATGAACAAAAATCTGAAGCCTGCTTTTGATTTTGCCAAGATGACTAAAGTTTAATGTTGAAAGATGAACACCAAAATCAGCAAACATGTGGAAAAGTTGTATCTACAGAATTAATGGTGGATATTGTGGATAAAACACAATCGAAAGAACAAATCTTTAGGGAAGGAAAGATCTAAAGATATCTTAAAGAGTATGTTCTTGGTAAAAGTCCTATGGCAAAATCACAGGTTCTTGGAAGGCATATGATCTTTTTGCTATGGTGGATCAAGCAAAATCCGATTGGCTCGATGCTTGGATGAAAATTTAGAAGTTAGTATTGATTAGATATTTGTATTCAATGGTAATTTTGTTTAATATTCATTTTTGATATTTAAGTTTTGATTGCAGAGATACAACCATTGATTTAGGCATAGGTGATGGTGATGCAGATAAAAACTTCTTCTCTCTGACTTTATGACACCAACAAAATGGTTGGACAACAGAGTAAGTGTAACACCCCCGACCCGAGTCTATTCATGACTTAGATCGAGCCGGAAGCGTTACAGTGCAGAGACGGACACAGACCGGCCCGAACATCCCATACTACTCGAGCTAGTCCATGTCCGAGACCGTTTCTCGAACTCACAGCTTAAGGCTTTTCAACCCGTATTGTGAACCCAAGTTGTTTCGATCCGGACAAGGTCTAGAATCATTAAGACAAGGTTTTTGTGAGAAAATACTTCTTTTATTACATATTGAAAATATCCTTACAAAACCATGTTCCAATACATAATATTCGATGCATCTTATCACAAAACCGCGCTTAACGAATATACATATGTAGATCTTACAAGTACACTGCAATCTACTCTGGCTCACCTAACGTCTGTTGCCTTCCCTCTATGTTCCCGGTTTCTATGGCTACCTGCAAGATATAAAGAGTCGTGAGTATTCACAATACTCAGTGAGTCCAGACTCTAACACACAATCCACCACAATCTCGCTTAACACACATAGCCGAAGCACACACAACAAGGAAAGCAATGGACAACCAACCAAGCAATCGCAATGTTCACAAACAATCACCAACCAATCAATTCACAGTGGAAGCTATTCACCAATAAGTCTAGATCACTACTCTAAGTGCATCTATTGACTCAAACTACACCATGATAAGGCCCCTAAACATGCCATGTTCCACCCTGAACATGCACCAGTTTGACACACCTGCCCCGTGAGCCCCCCCCCACTCTGATCACCACACAGGATCACAGAGTTGGCTCACGGTCCGACCTTGTCCATGGTCTACCGACCAGTCGGGCCACACCGTCATGCAGCACTCGACAAGGGGTGCGAGCCCAGGTTCCACCCGAGTTTAACCATTGGGCTGTGTCTAGACCGATGAATTCCACCCTGAATTCACTCCGGCCTTAAATCTACATGCAACCTACATGCAACACACAAACACTTACGAGACTTTCCCTTTTTTCACACAAGACTCACGGGCCTCTCCCGTAGTCTGCCCTTACGGGACTTTCCTCTGAGCTCATCGGTTCACAACCACTTCTTGCTCCCATTTGCCCTACCTGAACTTACTCTAAGCTCAGCGGTTACCTACCGGGTGTTGCTTCTGCCTTTCAGGACTTTTCTCTGAGCTCATCGGTTCACAACTGCTTCTTGCTCCCATTTGCCCTACCTGGACTTACTCTAAGCTCACCGGTTACCTACCAGATGTTGCTTCTGCCTTTTGGAACTTCTCTCTTAGCTCATCGGTTCTGAACCGTCTCTTGCTCCAATCTGCCTTACTTGGACTTACTCTAAGCTCACCGGTTAGCTATCGGGTGTTGCTTCTGCCTTTCGAGACTTGTCACACACCGAGCTCAACGGTTACATACTGTCTATTGCTCACCTCTGTCCTTCTGGGACTTATAATTTTCTCGGCTCAACGGATCCCCCGTTCCTTGCCTACTTGTCCTTCCTCCGGACTTACTCTAAGCTCACCGGTCGCGTGCCGGGTATTGCTTATGCCGTTCAGGACTTACTCCTTTCCTGGCTCAACGAACTTCACCGTCTCTCGCATTACTTGCCTTACTGGGACTTACCTTGCTACAGCTTGACTCTCTGTCTACCGTTACACACCTCCGGCTCACCGTTACCCACAACGGCTTGCCAACACCACCATCCTGACGCACCAACGGATACACATCCCTTGACTGTATCTGAAGGTTCCCACCATACTGAACCACGTCCCTAATCTCTCGGGTTAAGCCCACATGCAACCCTTAAACCTGCACCAAAACTCTATGGACACAGGGAGAATTTGACTAAGGGACTCAAACAAAGGACTCACCGTGATTCTCTGATGCGCTAAGTTGGATTCACCGAGCCTAATCCTGCCACGCACCTAACCACGATCCGCCTTCACTCTCTCACAGACTTTCTCTCAATAAACTCACATAAACGGTTTCTAGAGAGAAGTAGAGATTTTTCCGGGATGAATTTGTTTAAGAGGTGAAGTTCTATATATAGCCAGCGTCCCTCCCATGCAGCCGTACAAGTGTCGCACCAGACATCCCATCAGCGCATGCAACGGTCCATCTCGCCACCTTGGAGGTCTACAGTACCTTTTTTAGACCTAGGTCGGCTACAGCAGCCTTTGTCCCTCACTATGCCAGCTGCGCCCTGTCTCATCGGAACATGCATTGGTCCGTCCTGACTCCACACAGTTCTACCGCAGCCTTTGTTCCCCACTTCATTCCCTTTGTCTCCATGTGTCAGCGCGGTACTGTTCACGGTACTGTTCATGGTACTGTTAATAGTACTGTTCACGGTACTGTTCACGACACTGTTCACGTCAGGAATCTTCCCAGTCTGTTGCACAGTTTTCCTTCTTTTCGTGGTTATAAGTACTCTGATATTCCTTTGGACCAGATCTCTACATTCCTCTTGACACTTAGCCGTTTTTCTTCGATTTTCGGCTAATACTCGGCCAATTTCTTCGCCACCGAACCACTTTGAAATTTGCCCGTGTGTTTCTTCATCTGCTTTGACCAAATTCTTCCTCTCGGCCCAAGCTTACTTCCCAGCTCAACTCCCAGTTGATTCCGCGACTTTGTTTTTCCAGCCGTTTTAGCTCTAAGTCGGGGTATTACAGTAAGTATAAAAATAGTCATTATACACGATAAAATATTTTACTATAACTAGTTTTATATGTGTATTTGGTAACAGCACATCAATGCTGCTATGTCTTTGTTAAGACGAAGATTGTCAGTTGTCCTATGTCCATTTCGAAGTGAAAGATTGGCATCAATGGATGTACCATTCATAATATTGATTAATTGCATCTATAGAGATTTCTCAAAAAATCCAAAAGAATACGTTTGAAATAGTTTGGTTATCGATTACTTCAATGGTCTCTTAACTCGATATGGAAAAACAGAGAAAAGATTTGGAATAGATGTGGATAATGTTTATGTGGTTTTAATAACTAATGGAGTGTCACGAGCTTTGTTATTTTCACCTTGAAATTCTGAACTTTGATTCTTCACTGAAACACAGAGACATGTGAACATGGATCGACATGTTTCAAAAAAACTCTCTAACTGTCGATCGTTATTAATGATCACGGGAAGAATATCTTTTGGCATGTTTACTAACATATTCGTAGGCAACATGTAACTTAGCTCTATATTATCAACCAAGCCATATATGCTAAAATCTTCAACAACCATCTGAAATAATTCATCGAACTTCATACCATCAACTGATTTGTAATAGTTGTCCTCCTTTCCTGTGATTCATCACAAAATTCCATGATTCTTTGCTCATCACCCAGTTTCCATAAACTCTAAAAATCTGCACCATTCTTAAGAACAATAAAACTTCACGGTTTTTTTTTTTTTTTGCAAACTTTTTCACTGAAACATACCTCATTTATTAGAGAAGAAATTTTTTCATACTGGAATCCAAATAATATTTCGTATCACTCCGGTTATGAAATCATAGAAATGTGTTGGGATTTGATAATAAGAATATCTCTTTTTAAACTTAAAAATATCTTTGTAAAATAGGATTTTTTTAAAAAAATGATTCAAAGCATAAAATATGTAAAGAATGATCGATTTTTTAAGAAAGATTTAGTTTAATATTCTAAAATTTTTATATATTTTGAAAACTAACTTCCATTTTGTAAACTTTGAAAACTAAACTTTTAACATTTAAAATTAACAAATAACCTTAAATAAATCAAAAATAGGAATTGTTTGAAGATGATATCGACCTTGTAAACAATTTATCAAAAAACTAATCAACACCATTTCATAAGTCTTCTCCTTCTCTCTCTCGTCTTCTTCCTCCTCTCACTCTTTTTATTTATTTCTCTTTTCTTTTTTGAATGATTTACATTCAAAAGACACTTTTCTACTTATTCTTACAAAAAGGCACTTCTAACTATTGAGGTATTTTTTTCTTATTTTTAAATTTCACATCAAAATAATCTAAAATTGCCCTTCGTATTTACGATAACGGTGGATACGAGTTCGTGGATACTAGATTAAAACTAATTCACGCCATCATGTCCATGTTTTATGTCCATCATGTATTATCCATATCTTATTTTGTGAATGAATATCTAACATACTTGTGATTTTTTTGAATTTTTTATAAATGCTTTTTAAAAAGTTTCTTGTTTGATAAATAAACTATAGTATAATCGGTCTTAAAACAATAAAAAAAAATTATAATTCATTTTATCAAAAAAATTATTTTATATCTTTCATAATACAGAAAAATACAAAACAAAATAGATGGAAAAAAATTACTGTTTTTAAAATCTGGGTTTAATCCAGTATCCATGAATTCGCATACACCATTATCGTGAATACGGAGGGCAATTTCAGATGTTAAATTTTACTGAAAAGTATTTTTGTCCTAAAAAATATCTAAAAGTTAGAAAAATTTCCTAATAGCAAAAAATACCTTTGAGTGTAATATCAGTTATAAAAAGTACAAAAAGTACCTTCGAGCATAAATATCTCTTTTTTTTATCTTTTTTCTTCCTTCTCTCACTCTTTTTATTTATTTCTCTTCTCTTGTTCAACACTTTGTTTTCTATTAGATTAATTTCTCTTCTCTTCCCACCTTTATTTATTTCTTGATAGATCCATGCTCTATCACCATTTTTTTTTTATCAAAATGCTTCTTATGGAGCTCTGATTTTGTTACGGAGATTTTTATCCTCTCCAATGCATCCTTCTTCAATTTAGGTTAAATGGTCTTAAGCCTCTCGCTCATTAAGAGTATCTCATGGTAGGAATCCAACAGCCTCCTACTGATTTCCGATCGACATTTTGGTGGATCAAATAGTAATTCAGACACTACTAATTTGCTATAATAAGAACAAAAATTCATATCATCCAATTACCAAACAAAATCTGGTTTTTGAAAACAAATCAAAGAAAATAAAACTGATTTGACAAAAATTTAAGAACTTGTACTTAGTCTAAAAAAACCATTCAAATCCTAAAAATTCAAAACTAAAATAAGAAAAAACGTTTAAATCTTCTACAATTATCATCACATAGACCGACTTACATATCTCAATTCAATGCAAGACACTCAATACATTTCAATACATATTCTAAAATTTTATGATGAGTATAACTTTCTTTTTACTTAATTTAAAATTTATTTTTCCAAATTTTCAAAATATAGGTTAGTTTTCAAAATATATAATTTTTTGGCATATTAAATCAAATTCCCAGTTTTTGTAAATCCAAATTTTTATTCATTTTTCAAAAAAACGAAAATAATATAATTAAATTTTTAAAAATTCATGTCTAATTTATCTTGGATATTTTAGCAGTTTTAAATATCAAAAAGGTTACTTTTCAAAGTTTTCTAAAGATGGGTTATTTTTCAAAATATATAAATTTTTTCTTGTAATATTAAACCAAATCTCCCTTTTTTCTTCTATTATCTAGTTTCAATTAAATTTTATGGCATATGCTCAAATATTTATTATTTTCTTTTCCTATTTGAATTTTTTTGCTAGGCATATAATAATTTAAAATAAACTGAAGCAGTAAACTATGTGTATATCAATCATTCCTTAATAATAATATAAATGTCAACATGGTTGTATTTACAAAAAGATTTGACCTTATAACATTTCCCCACAAATGGTTGAGAAGGTCATTTAAGAAATGAGCCAAAGGCCAGTTTTAATACACACAAGATATGTAACGGTTTCATAAATTAAAATGTACTAACTTATTTGATGTTTTTTTTTTTTTTGGTTAACGCATGTACTATACGTTTGGAACTATCTAAATCAATTTGAGTAGACGAATATCCTTCGTATAACTAACATCAGAGAGTTCTTCACATTTTGTCAAATGTCCTATTTCACATGTTTAAAAGTACAATTCTGTGTCCAATGTTCCATTTCAATTTTTTTTTAAATAAACATTTATATCATAACAGAAATCTTCACGTTATGCACATGTTCTCGAAAATAAGCAACTTGTCTAATGTCAATATTCTAAGGAAACAATATTTTAATTTTTTATATATGATTCAAAGTGAAGGTTGAGCACCCCAAGCTTTAAAGATATGGCTTCGAGTTTTCTTATATGATTTAGTTTGTATCTTCTTTCCAACATACGAAAATGGTAGAAGTGACCATGATCTCTTCAAGCCTAGTCCGACCCAAAAACATAGACCAATCGGGTCGGCCTACGATCCATCTAACTCCACATGATCTTGACCTTCTTTATCTTTTTTATCCTCAAAGAGGTCTTCTCTTCCCCAAACCCGACCCTGAAACCTGTATCATCCCTCGATTAAAGGCCGCTCTTTCAACTGCCTTGGAGGTTTATTTCCCATTCGCTGGTCGTCTCGTCAAAGTGGACAATCAGGAAGACAATACGGTTTCGTTTCACGTCGAGAGTGATGGCTCTGGCGCAAAATTCATCCACGCCAAAGCCGAATCTGTTTCCATGAATGATCTCCTTCAACCTCATGGATCTGTTCCTGATTTCATTACGCTTTTTTTCCCCTCGAAAGATGTTGTAAGCCGTGACGCTCTCATCTCTGAGCCCTTGCTTGCGTTGCAAGTTACCGAGATGAAAGATGGAGTTTTCATCAGTTTCGGTTACAATCACATGGTGGCCGATGGTTCTTCGTTTTGGAGTTTCTTCCAAACTTGGTCCAAGATTTGTCTCAATGGTTCCGGTTCAGATAATTTTCAGCCTCTGGTCCTCAAAGATTGGTTCCACGAAAAGATCTATTTCCCGATCCATATTCCAGTTTTCAAGACCGAGACGCCATCAAATCGTGAAACTTCAACTAAAGAGAGAATTTTTCACTTCACAAAGAAGAAAATCTCATATCTCAAAGCTAAAGCCAATGACGAAATTGGCTCCATTGATTCAAATATCTCTTCTCTTCAAGTAGTTGTAGCATATCTATGGCTATCAATTATCAGGCACAGTGGTCTAAACAGAGAAGAAGAAACGCAATGCAAAGTAGCTGCGGATATGAGGCATAGGCTAAACCCTCCCATAGAGAAAGAGTGTTTCGGGAATGTGACCGATCTCGCTACAGCGATGTCCACCGTGGGAGACTTGTTGGACCATGGGCTAGGCTGGACTGCTTTGCAAATAAGTAAATCTGTGAGGTCACAAACGAATGAAAGCTATAAAACTTTTGCTGAGAATTGGGTTAGAAATGTAACCACCCCAAAAATAGGTGCTGGAAACAGATTGGCTGATAACTCTTTGATCGTTGCAAGCTCGCCGCGGTTTGAAGTGTACGATCATGATTTCGGTTGGGGAAAACCGATTGCGGCCCGAGCTGGACCGGGTAATGGTATTGGTGGTTTACTCGTTATGTTTCGTGGAGTTGAAGAAGGAAGTATTGATGTCCATGCGGCCTTGACGTCAAATTTATGGTCTGATGTACTATTGAACCTATTGGTCGAATAATTATTTGGTAAATAAAATATATCCATTGGTTTAGTGAGCATCGCCACAAAAGCTATATAACACTATATAAAAGTTAAACAAATGCGATGAGTTCAACGGTTCAAGAAACCAATCATGAAGTTCAAAAGATCTTAGGCCATGATGATCAAGTTACCAAATTTACATGAACTCACTCGGTGGAATTAAAATAACTGATTAGTAGAATATTCGCCAAGAGATGAAGCATTGGCTTGTAGCTATAAAAAGGCTTGACCAAATAAGAAAACTCGGAGTGCCACTAATTGAAACAGTAGAAACTCTATAAATAATATTCGATAAATTAATAAATATTATAAATTAATATTTTTTATTGTCTTGAGTTGGACCAGTTTAAAATATGACATAATTTAATAAGATAATAAGATAATAACTTTAACAAAACTTCTATGTAAATATATGGTCCCATTAATATCATAAATTAAAAATTACCATAAACAAAATCTGATTTAAACATATACATGAAATAATCTACTAAAATACGAGTATAGTTGACCAAAAAAAAGTGATGTTTTTTATTCATTTAAAATTAAATTTTTTTTGAATATCATCTTAAATTTTAGAAAAAACTTTTTAAAAACTATACAATCTTTTTAAAAATTAATAAGAAATAAAAAATATTTTTTCTTTAAAATCTATAAATTAATAACTCTATAAATTAATAAAATATCAAAGTCCCAACATTATTAATTTATAGAGTTTTTACTGTACATAAAAATTTTCGTTTACAATCTTTAACAATCTATATAAAGTCAAATCAATACATGACTAAAAGAAACACTCTGCCTAGACGAAAAAACTTTGTTTTTTTTGTAAGGGTGTGTTTTTTCTCTCTCCTCAAAAAGGGCGATAAAAAGTACGATTTCTTCTGCTCCTTAAATCATTAATTTCCCACCGCCGGCGGTCCCTGGCCTCCGTCGACGGCAACCCCAATGGCCAAGAAAAAGAAACCCCGCCCATTTCTCTCCCCTCGCCTCAGCCTCTCATCCCACCCCCCCCCACCCCCCACCCAAAAAAAAATCTGGTCTCTAAATCTGGTTCCTCCTTGGAGAAACAAAAATCCTCATTGATCCCGGCAAATTCTGCTGATACCGTCAAGTTCCCTGCTGTTACGGCCACTTCTAAGTGCTCTAAGGAATCAGTTGAAGCTCCTGCTGCATCGACCGGGGAAACTGTTGTTATTGAATCTGGAGATGCCAACTCTTCGGCTTCGATGAAACCTGCCCCAGATCTGGAGATTCCATCCAAGAACTCTTGGCGTGAAATCATTAGCCCGACTAACAAGAGGATGGCTAAGAAGGGTGAGGCTTTGGTATTGGAGTCAGGTGACTTTTGTGTCACTATACCCAACGATGTCATCACCAGGAACCAACATCGTTGGGAAAACTTTATCCTGGCTCAGTTCCATGGTAAAGCTCCATCGCCAGGAGCTCTTCATGCGATTGTAAACGGGATATGGAGCTACAGATTGCAGAACATCACTGTCTCGAAATTGTTGGACAGGTCTTTCCTTATTCGAATCCCCTGTGCTGCTATGCGCCAGCAAGTTCTATCTCAGGGTATGTGGCATATCAAGAATCAATCAATGTTCGTGGGTAAATGGGAACCTGGAATTACCCCTGAGATCCCCAATCTTACTGCTGCTCCGGTCTGGGTGGATTGCCATGGAGTTCCGCTCCAATTCTTTTCTGACAAGCTCTTGAGCATGTAGCAGGGCTGGTTGGTTATCCCGTTAGATGTCATCCTTCGACTTTGAACATGACAAATGTGGAGGTGGCTAGAGTCCTCACCATTTTCAAATCATCAAAACCTTTACCGGAATGGATTAATGTCCGCTTTCACTCCGGGTAAACAGTGAGGGTGGAGGTGTCTTCTCCGTGGCTACCTCCAACGTGTGAACACTGCCATCAAGTGGGACATCCAATGAGGAAATGCCCAATAGCACCTATGTTATGCTCGGATTGCAACTCCACGATGCATCTGCCTGAGGATTGCACTCGGTCGAAGAAGAAGCAGTCCCCGATCCCACCTGTTAAGGCGACAGAGGCAAATCCTAATGCCGCTTCGAGTAGCAAGAGAAAGAAATCCAAGAGAAAAACTGTGGTGGTGGAGTTGGCAGACAAAGTAAAGGAGGTATCTGATAAAGCAAAAGAGGTGAAGCATAAGGGCAAAGAGATTGCAATCCCTCAGGCTCCTTCCAAGAAGAAACATGTGACTGTGAATGGGAAGGTTAGGTCGAAGATTGTTATTGCTACGCCTTTTGACACTGAACCTCTTTCCTCTTCTGACTCTTCTAGTGCGGGTGAGGAGAGTTCGTCAGAGGAGAGTTATGTTTCTGAGGAGGATGATAACCCTGCGGTTGATGATGGATTTATGCAAATGGTTTATAAAAAGGAGAAGAAGATAAGTTCTTCAAATCAGATTGGAGTTTGCGGGGCAAAAGCCCAAAATCAACATAATCCATATGTCGATGGATTTTTTTTGTGGAACGTTCGAGGCTTTAATAATCAAGTTAGGTGAAGTAGTTTTAGGAAATGGTTTAGGCTGACTAAAGCCCTTTTTGGCGGCATTATCGAGACTAAGTTAAGGACCCTAAGTCTTTGAAGTACATATCCTTTTCTTTTCCGGGTTGGAAGTTCGAGTGTAACTACGAGCATGCTGAGTTAGGCAGAATATGGGTTTTGTGGCATCCCTCTGTCTCTGTTTCCATCTTGTACAAGTCGGACCTGGCTATCTCTTGCTTGATTCGGCTTCCCAGGTCGAATGTGGATATGGCTGTAACTTTTGTCTATGCAGTTAATACCAAAGATGGGAGACCCTCGCTTTAGGATGATATAAGAACTGTCTCGGGTGATGTGAGAGTGACTGGAATCCCTTGGATCATCTTGGGGGATTTCAATCAATCTCTAAATCCTGTAGACAGTTCTAAGCGAGGATCTCGTATTACCAGAGGCATGGCTGATTTTCGGAGTTGCCTTGCTGATGCTGGGTTGGATGATCTTACTAGTAGGGGAAATCACTATAATTGGTGGAATAAGCAGCTGGCCAATCCGTTAGCTAAGAAGCTGGATGAAGTGTTAGTCAACAAAGAATGGATTCTTTCTTATTTTGGTGAGAATTTGTTTTCGGATCATAGCCCTTCTTCAGTGCATCTTGGTCTACCTCAGTCAATCAACAACAGACCCTTCAAGTTCTCAAATTTTCTGGTTCAACATCCAGATTTTCTCAGCTTGATTTCTGATGAATGGAAGCGTCTCCATTTTCCGGGAATTTCCATGTACTCTCTTGTTAGGAAGCTTAAGGAGCTAAAAAGGGTCATTCGAGGTTTCAGTAGGGATCATTACTCCAACCTGTAACAGAGGGTTAATGAGGCTCTGGAGAAGTTAAATGTCTGTCAGCGGTCCCTTCTTTCAAACCGTTTTGCTGCTGCTGCTCTTGATGTGCTCAGGTTTTAACCCTAGTTTTCTGCAAGCGCACAGATGTACGTTGTAGTACTTAGGGGTCAATCCACTGAAGACCAAGTAACTGCAATACGAGTTTACTTGAGATGAGAACCGAGCTAAGATGAAAATATGGGTGTTTGTTTGGGGGTTGTGAACAATGACGAAAATATCAAATAATAAAGTTAAAAACAAGTAAACAATAAGATCAAATCAATACGAGAAGATGTTGGGCGTTAGGGAATTCGCCGGGAATCATAGACTAGCTAACAAGAGAATTAAACATAGAGTTTTCTATAGATGTGTTCCTGAAATCAAACCCAGACTAACCTACTCACGTAGTATTAATCACAAAATTCACTCAGATTTACTAAACTCCCATTCAGTTCTCTAAGTGTCTAGACAAATTAGTTTGATAACTTCACAGAATGCTTTTGATTGACTCACGCTGTCTAAGAGGAATTGTTCATCTAAATAAGGTTAATCGATTTGACAACACTTTCGGTGAGTAAATCAACCTAATCGCAGTAGCTAGATGGTCGATCCAAGCCACATAAACGAAATGCAAATTTAGACGAAGAACTCTAAAGATAAACCTTAATTAAACAAACAATAAATCAATCCATGAATTCCCTTTGAAAAATCCCTTAAAACCCAACAAAGGAATTACTCAATCATAGTGTATAAGAACATCACAGAAGTATTGTAGTTTACTGGAAATTAAATAAGAGGAAGGTAAAAAACGAAGAATGAGGAAGAAGATGGAGATCGATGATGGCTCCTTCGGCGACCCCTTCTTCTCCCGAAGACGGCAACTCCGAGGCGTGCGGCTCTTCTCTACTCTCTCTCCACGACTTGGTCACTAGAATGACCTAAAACGAGTATATATAGCCTTCTAATTCGTTGGAAACGTCTAGGGTTTGAAGAATAAGTAGTGGGCTGAACTTGGGCTTGAATTAGGTCATTTTTGGACGTCAACGATGTCTGGCCGCGGTCGTGGTGGTCCTGACCGCGGGAAATCATGGTCTGGCCGCGACCAGTCTGGCCGCGGTCGCGGCCTATGCTCTCCTTTAAGACTGCATTTTCTGTCTTTAGTGCATCGGGAATATCTGAAGATCTAACCGTTGGATTGTCTCCAAACCAGTTGCATTAGAAATCTGGTTGTCTCCTCTATACTTTCTCAAATTTTGGGGATGATCAGATGGTGAAAAAGTCTTCATTGAGTGCCATACTTCTGACGGTCTGCATTTATCCAAAATTGCTCATTTGTTCCAAATTGCACATCTTTAATCCAAGTTTCCTGAAAAGTCTTTTAAAACTCTAAAACATAGAAATCACTTTAAACCCATTGATAACAGAGCTAAAACACCTGCATAAGATATCAAAACGATCCATCAAAATCTGGTGTTATCAACTCCCTCAGACTTAAACCTTTGTTTGTCCTCAAACAAAACATAGTTCAAGCCAGGAAAGAATCTTTAAAAACCTGCAGGAACTAATCAATATCTCAGTGACCGTCCTTCTAAACCATAACTTATC